TAGAATAGGTAATGTTTAATGAGAAATAGAGGGGATTAAATCATCATTTCCATCGGTTTCTAATGTACTGTATTTTTTAATGTGCTATATTTTTATAAGCTCTAAAGCCTTTTGTAAAAAATATTTTGTATCAGAATGTGTACTTTCTTAAGGCATGTATATGACCTCTGTAGATATTAACACACATAGCAGCTGGAAATACATTTATATTATATACCTATAAAGATTTAAGTATTTATATTATTTGTTTTACAAAATAACTGAGACTTTTATGTACAAGCTAAAGCAGTCAAGGATGAAATGGTTCCACAGAACCAAGGATGTTTGTTGTGATAAAATAAAAAGGACATTCAGGTGGGCTGTGTATCAACAGCTATAATCTGTTCAGGTTGTAAGGGCTGTGGTAATAGTGCCGTCATTTTATGTAGGCTTCTAATCTCTCAGCTTTTCAAAACATGTAAGAGCTGATATTGAATGGATGTGGATTATGTACATAGTGTTTCTTTGCCATCGTCCCCAGCAAAGTATATCTCTACTGGGTGAAAGGGTGGTAACCAAGCTAGCAATACAAAATAAAAGAGGGAGTTTGAAAATAGCTCAAAATAATAGAATTCTCTAAGATAGATAATTTATAACCAAAATAGGGGGAAAATTGTTTTACAAAAAGGTCTGATAGGACCACTCTAATGATCTTATCTATGAGCAGCAGTACATTCACTCTTCCTACCTGAAGAAACGACTGTTGATTTTTTTTTTTATGAGACAAACTGGAAAGTGGCTCAATACCTCCAAAGGGAAAAGTCTACCCTAAGTCATTGTAAATTAGATCATTTCTCCCTCTCTCCTTACCTTGCAATCTCAAGATACAGAAGCTCTTCAACTTCCAAACTTTCTTTTTTTTTTAATTTTTTTTAATTTTTATTTATTTATGATAGTCACACACAGAGAGAGAGAGAGAGAGAGAGAGGCAGAGACACAGGCAGAGGGAGAAGCAGGCTCCATGCACCGGGAGCCCGAAGTGGGATTCGATCCCAGGTCTCCAGGATCGCGCCCTGGGCCAAAGGCAGGCGCCAAACCGCTGCGCCACCCAGGGATCCCAACTTCCAAACTTTCAACAAATACCTCTTTCAACACTTTTACATACCTTTTGTGTTAAACACTGAAGGTTAAGAATGTCAAAAGATGCAGAATGATGAGCTGGTTAGAATAGGAACAAAATTGGGACACCTGGGTGAGTAAGTGGTTGAGCGGCTGCCTTTGGCTCAGGGTGTGATCCCGGGGTCCTGGGACCCAGTTCCACATCAGGCTCCCCAGAGGGAGCCTGCTTCTCCCTATGTCTGCTTCTCTCTGTGTCTCTCGTGAATAAATGAATAAAATATTTTTAAAATAAAGAACAGTAACAAAATTGAAAGTAGTAAGGAAATGGCAAATTTGTTGCAGGCATGTGTTGGTTGACAGTAGGAACAGTTCTCTAGAGCTCCCAGTTTGTGCATCATTTGAAAAGTGCTGTGTTTGAGCAATCCATACTAATCAGCAAGAGGCAAGGAAAAGGATAAACAATTGAAAAGGTGGAATGCTTGTGACCACAGGATCAGCCTCAATGTCAGATATCTCTTAGCCTAAAATGAATTCAAGAGACAGCTGGGAGTTTGAGAACCTAGACTAAGCAAATTGTGAAATGCTATTGCTGATATTTTGGTCACAAGCCATGGATTATTCCTTGGATCAAGGCCAGTTCATATTTGTCCACTAACAGAGTTTAGTAGCTAGCTCATGAGTGCACTGTACAGATGTGCTCAAGGCGTCCCTACAAACTGCAGATTATTACGATAAAGAGGCATTTTCAGTGTAGACAAAACTATATGGGGAGATGTCCACAGACACACATACAAAGAAATATAAAATATCTGAGCAGAGAGAAGAATAAGCCTAATGGAGCGCCTGGGTGGCTCAGTTGGTTAAGCATCTGCCTTCAGCTCAAGTCATGATCCCAACAGGGTCCTGGGATCAAGCCCTGCATTGGGCTCCATGCTCAGCAGGAGCAGCCTGCTTCACCCTCTCCCTGCTTGTGCTCTCTCTGGTTATCTCTTTCTCTCTCTCAAATAAATAAAAAATAATCTTTTTTAAAAAAGAGAGAAGAAACTTAGTTTTTAAATTTCTGCAAGAACTAACTCATATTACTTATGGTATAATGCATCTCAGGACTAAGATCAAAATTTTCTTGGTTCACTGAAAATCTAGATTCCCCAAAAAATTTGAAGAGCAGATTGAAAACCCCAAATTCTTTGATATAATGCATTGGTTGCAGAAACTTTTTGTTTCATAGAAAACATTCAAGTCACAATTTTAAGCTAAAGTGGTTAGTGATGGGGATCCCTGGGTGGCGCAGCGGTTTGGCGTCTGCCTTTGGCCCAGGGCGCAATCCTGGAGACCCGGGATCGAATCCCATGTCAGGCTCCCTATATGGAGCCTGCTTCTCCCTCTGCCTGTGTCTCTGCCTCTCTCTCTCTCTCTCTCTCTCTCTCTCTCTGACTATCATGAATAAATAAATAAAATCTTTAAAAAAAAACAAAAAACAAAATCTTTAAAAAAAAAAAAAAAAGAGTGGTTAGTGATGTTGCCAATGGCTATACATGACCAGTGTCTTCTTCAAAGTTGCTTACTATGAAAACAAGAAAAACAAAATGCAGGCATCTTTGTATACGTTTTTTTTTTGTTTTGTTTGTTTTTTTTTTTTTTTTTTTAAGGATCATCAAGAAGCAGGAAGAGTCAGGACCAATGTTATATAAAAATCTTCTGGGCAGCCCTGGTGGCTAAGTGGTTTAGTGCCACCTTCAGCCCAGGGTGTGATCCTGGAGACACGGGGTTGAGTCCCATGTCAGGCTCCCTGCATGGAGTCTGTTTCTGTCTCTGCCTCTCTCTCTCTCTCTGTCTCTCATAAATAAATAAAATCTTAAAAAAAAAAATCTTCTTTTCTCTCACTGAAGTAATCTGCCCACCTTCATTAGCTATAAAGTGTCATTTTTTACTCAGGAACAAAATGGTCTCAAGACCTAACCTATTTGCAAATTGAATGTGTGCAGAGACATAGCAGGAGTTATATTCTGAAGTCTACAAAATGAGCTAACATACCAACAAAGATTAATACATTGGTTGTCTATCACTGTAGGACTTTAATATATATTTGAGTATATGTGTTAATTTTAAAAACTAAAAATATTTTTAAAATAAAGCCTGACCCCATATAGGATATGTCTTTTTTTAAAAGATTCATTTTATTTTAGAAAGCATGAAGGGGAGGGACAGAAGGAGAGGGAGAGAAAGAATCCCAAGCCAACTCCCGGCTGAGCATAGAGCCCCACGCAGGGTTCAGTCCCACAGCTCTAAGATCATGACCTGAGCCAAAGTCAAGAGTCAGATGATTAACTTACTGAGCCACCCAGAAACCCCTAGTATGTTTTTTTCAATTGCACCTTTCTTCTCTATCAATCATGGTAGTGGGGGTGGGGGTGGAGATGGGAGTCTTTCAATATAAAACAACATAATAAAAATTATGCCAAAGGAAGTGGGGGAGAAACTGGCCCCACAGATTACTTACAGATTATACAGGAAGAAACATGTCATTACAGGGGACCATCTGATAGTCACCACCTTAACCAAGTGATCAAATTTATAGCATTACTAAGAGTGGGACAGCCTGACATTTTGTGCCTCCTGAATTGCTACAATATAAAGTACATAATATTCTCTATAAAATACTCATGACAGAAATGTTTCAGCAAGCTTTTCAGACCCAACTTTCAGTTTGCAAGCAAAACAAGGACAAAGTTAAATAACGTACTGGAGAAATAATATGACAAACCCAAAAAGTCCATGATTTTCGGGGTGCCTGAGTGACTCAGCCAGTGGAATGTGCAACTCTTGATCTTGGGATTGTGGGTTCTAGCCTCACATTGGGTGTAAAGATTACTTAAGGGGCAGCCCTGGTGACTCAGCGGTTTAGCACCGCCTTCAGCCAAGGGTATGATCTGGAGACCAAGGATCGGGATCCCTGGGAGGCGCAGCGGTTTGGCGCCTGCCTTTGGCCCAGGGCGTGATCCTGGAGACCCGGGATCGAATCCCACGTCGGGTTCCCGGTGCATGGAGCCTGCTTCTCCCTCTGCCTGTGTCTCTGCCTCTCTTTCTGTGTCTCTCGTGAATAAATAAACAAAATATTAAAAAAAATAAAGATTACTTAAAAATAAAATCTAAAAAAAAGTGATTTTTCATGAAAAAAGTCCATGGTTTTTATTTTCACTTTTTTTAAAGATTTTATTTATTCATGAGAGACAGAGAGAGAGAGAGAGAGAGAGAGGTAGAGACACAGGCAGAGACAGAAGCAGGATCCATGCAGGGAGCCCAATGTGGGACTCGATCCCAGGTCTCCAGGATCAGGCCCTGGGCTGAAGGCGGTGATGAGCCACCTGGGCTGCCCTTTAATTTCACTTCTTGAGAAATGGGGAGGATCTAGATTTAAAAGACTAACCAGAGATAATCGAAATCATATGTAACGTGTAAATCATGATTAATTCTGGTTGGGGTGGGGGAAGCTATAAAAGATATTCTTGGGACAATAGAGGAAATTTGAATATGGATTATATGTTAGATAATATGGAATTATTGTTAGTTTTTAACATTTGATAGCAGTCATGTGGTTATGTATGAGACATCCTATGCTTACTAGACGTGTGGTGACACATGGTGGAGTGAAGAGTCATGATGTCGGCCACTGTCCTCTCTAGAGGGTGTATATACCTGTGCTCACTATACTATTCTTTCAACATCTCAATGTGTTTAAGTGTTCTATGTATATAGTTGTATATGAAGACGAATAGAGAGATACATGGTAGGGGACCAAGGGAGAGAGTGTTGACCTTTATTCATGGAGAAGTAAAAGTTATAGAAGCACTAGATAATTTTTAAAGAACTAACAAATTAAATTCCCTCCCTTTCTATTTTAGGCTCAAGAGAAGGGAAGATTAGACTATGCTAAGGTAAGTAGATTTTATACATACTATACAGTTTTAGACATTTGTTTGGTGTGTGGTTTATGTTTCTGTGTGAAAGGTCAAAAGATAATCATCCCATTAAAGTTGAGGGGCATTCCCTGTTAAGTAGCAGGCAGGAGCAGGTAAGGGTACTTACCGAGTGCTTACTTCATTCCAGACACTGTTAGGTGTTGAGACTACAACATTAAGCCTTTAGGAAGCCAAAAGGAAGCATTTCCTTTTGGGACGTTTACAATCCAGGGTGGGAGGTAGATAACTAATAACAACTAAATGGACACATCATATAATGTCCTGTGGTGGTAAGTGCTATGAAGATGAATAAACTGGGTAAGATCACTCACTATTGCTAGAAAGAAGCCTTTGGCATCTTTGGCTTTTAGCACCACTGGATAATATGTGAGAAGCACCACACAGAGCAGACTTAGACTCCTAAACATAGTAGTTTTCGCATCCTTTCTGGAGCTTTTGAAAGCACACATGCCTGGGTGCAGCTTCACACCCTCTTTCACCGAGATCAAAATCCCCTGGTGGGGAGAGCAGGGCAGGGGCAGGGTGGAAGTATTTGAAAAAAAGGCTCCACAGATCGTTCCGACACACAGCCACGTTTAAAAACTGCTGTGGGAGTTCAGATTTCAGTGCACCAATGCAAGCCTCCAAACACGGTCGGGTCACATTCTGTTTTCCCCTCAGGGACAAATGGAACATTTTAGCAGGTGTGCGGGATGCATACAGCTGCTTGGCTAAAGGAACATGCTAACCATCTGGTTTATGCAACAATCAGGAATATCCAGTGTAGGAGCACACCTGCACTCCAGAGACAGGGAGGAAGAAATACAAGCTGTATGGGCTCTGCTCACACTGGGACAGCTGAAACCCACAGTGGTGCCTCGGGGCTGATCCGGAACCTTGTGCTCTCCTGACAGTTGTGAGCTGCATACCCATGGCTCCGTGCCTTTCCTCTCATTTCCTTGACTGAGGTGCAGTTCCTCCTTTTCTGTCTCACAAACTTCTGCTACCTTTAAGAAAAGCTACATAAGAGCACCTCTTAACTGAGGACTTCCATATGTCTGCTTGAGCCTTATGTACCCAAACTCAGGCTGCGGACATATCCCCTTGGGTCTCCCACAGACAAGGAAGCTCAATGCATCTTGAATTGAACTCCCCATCTTGCCTGACATCTCTGGTCCTTTTTTTTTTTTTTTCCTTAAATAGTTTTAAGGGTTTTTTTTTAAAGATTTTATTTATTTATTCATGAGAGACCCAGAGAGAGAGAGAGGCAGAGACACAGGCAGAGAGAGAAGCAGGCTCCATGCAGAGAGCCCAACATGGGACTCGATCCCAAGTCTCCAGGATCACACCCTGGGCTGAAGGCAGTGCTAAATCCTGGGCCACCGGGGCTGCCCTTAAGTTTTATTTAAGTAATCTCTACACCCAATGTGGGGTTCGAACACATGACCCCAAGATCAAAAATCACATGCTTATCTAACTGAGCCAGTCAGGAACCCCTAAATAGACCTTACTTTTTAGAGAAGTTTCAGGTTCACAGCAAAATTGGGCAAAAAGTGTCAAAAGAGTTACATATCCCCCCTGACCCTACATTCACACAGCCTTCCCTACTATCAACAATCTGCAGGAGATGGGGATCCCTGAGTGGCTCAGCAGTTTAGTGCCTGCCTTTGGCCCAGGGCATGATCCTGGAGTCGTGGGATCAAGTCCCTCACTGGGCTCCCTGCGTGGAGCCTGCTTCTCCCTCTGCCTGTGTCTCTGCCTCTCTCTCTCTCTCTCTCTCTCTCTCTCTCTCTGTCTCTCATGAATAAATAAATAAAATATTTTTTTAAAAATCTGCAGGAGAGTAATGTGTTTGTTACAGTGAAATTACATCGACATATCATTACCCAAAGCCCATGGTTTATGTCAGTGTCCACTCATGTTGTATCTCTGGTCCTTTTAACTTATTCTGTCTTCTGATGTTGGCAGTGTCATCCCACCAGTTAACCATGTGGGAAACTTAGAAGTCACCCTTGACTCCTCCTACTCCCTCACCTCTAGAATGATTCTTTGCCAAGTCACACCATTTTTGTATCCTACATTTCCTTCCATTCAACCCCTTCTCTTGACTTCTCTCTTCCATTACTTACATTGAGTTTCTTCACCTGACCACTGCAAAGCCTACTGACTGGTCTCCCTGACTCTCTCTTGTCACCCCAAGTCCATTGCCAACATTCAGGTATGTCTACCTGAATCATAAACCTGATAGTTTAACCTCCAGCTTAAAACTCTTCATTGGTTCATGTCGTCTGTAAGGCTGACTCAAACCTTGTTGGATGATTTCACCGCCTAGAGGGACTCTCCAGTGCCATCTCTTCCTACCCTGTGTTTCAGCAGCACCAGATCACACAAAACATACTGTTTCTGTTTTCCATGCCTTCACACTTTGCTTGAAATGCCCCTCCCCCTTTTTCAGCTACCATGTTCTTTCTGGAAGGCTTCTGTTAAGATCATCTCCTACAGGTAGTCTTGCCTGGTTCTCCAGCCTGGAGGAAGGGCTTGCCTTCATTCTTTTTTTTCTTTTTTTTTTTTTTTTTTAAGATTTATTTATTCATGAGAGACAGAGAGAGAAAGGGGCAGAGACATAGGTAGAGAGAGAAGCAGGCTCCTCATAGGAAGCCCCATGTGGGACTCAATCCTGGATCCTGGGATCAGGACCTGAGCCAAAGGCAGATGCTCAACCAATGAGCCACCCAGGCATCCCTCCTTCATTCTTTAATACAGTGTGCAGCTCTCACAGTCATTGTACTTACTCTGTAATATTATAATGCCCCACTGATGAGACAGACTATACACTGTGAGCTCTTCGAGGGCAGGGGCAATGTCTTGTCTTTGTATACTTGGTGCTAGCACAGCACTTGGCACATGGTAAATGGTGAGTGAGTGAATGAGGGAGAGAGGAAGGGAGTGGATGAGTGTAGAAAATAGAGTAAGAAATGAGTAAGGAAATAGAAGACACATGAAGTTAGTTTCAGGAGAAAATCTGGTATAGGGTTTTTAATCTCAAATCAGAGAGGTAAGATGCTTTTGACACGCTGCAAGTATCAACAGGGTTAAGAAGATTGTTTGGGGAGGTTGTAATATAGTAGCTTGGAGATAAAGGCTGGGATTTCACCATGTGATAGTAAAGGAAAGCTAACAAAAAAGTAAGGGAAAACAACACGATTTGGCATTAGAGCGACTACTGACCCATCATTGATGCTTATTTATGACTCAGAGAACTCCTTCAGGGTCTTTTATTGCAGAGACACATGACAGTTGAAGAGGTTAAAAGAAAGGAAAAAATGTGATGCACAGATAGAACACCCCAGGACGAAGCCGTGGCTCTGCCGCCAACTCATTGCAGAATCTAGTATCACTTAACCTCCTGGTCTTCCTTCAGTTTCCTTCCTATAAAGTGAGCAATTTAGAACAGTGCTAATCAGTTCTTCGGGTTCATTCCACATTCGAGAGAAGACATTCTTCTTGGGGGGTGGAGGGCATTCTTATGGTGTATTCCTGAGGTTTAGATTCAGTCCTTCATCCACTTTATCCACCCAGCCACTATGTATCACATATGTATGCACATATGTGCAAGGCTCTGTGCACATGTGCGTGCCACTGTAAGCAAGACCAATGTAAGCTTTCCTTGACTCACACCTCTCTGAAGTAGCCACTTTTCCTTTGTTGTGTTTTTTTTTTTCTTCTTGACATTTATAGTAATCTAAAATTATCATTTTCGGGACACCTAGGTGGCTCAGTGGTTGAGCTTCTGCCTTTGGCTCAGGTCATGATCCCAGGGACCTGGGATCAAGTCCCACATCGGGCTCCCCACAGGGAGCCTGCTTCTCCCTCTGCCTGTGTCTCTGCCTCTGTGTGTGTGTGTGTGTCTCTCATGAATAAATAAATAAAATCTTTAAAATAAAATAATAAAATTATCATTTTCATTTAGTCACTTCTGTTTTTTTTCTCTTCCACTGTACCGTAAGAGCTCTGAAGGCAGAGCCTCATTCATGGTGGCATCATCAGTATCCAGCATGGGCTTTGATGTAGGAGGGTTTGGCAACTGCACGTGAGTTGCATTAGTACTATTCTAGAAGTGTGGGAGGTTCTGGGAGGTCTAGAATGGATGATTATAGACTACAGTGAACCATTTTTTTTTTTTTATAATGATAGTCACAGAGAGAGAGAGGCAGAGACACAGGCAGAGGGAGAAGCAGGCTCCATGCACCGGGAGCCTGATGTGGGATTCGATCCCGGGTCTCCAGGATCGCGCCCTGGGCCAAAGGCAGGCGCCAAACCGCTGTGCCACCCAGGGATCCCACAGTGAACCATTTTAAGAACATATTGACTACGGACACCTGGGTGGCTCGGTGGTTGAGCGCCTGCCTTCAGCTCAGGGTGTGACCTGGGAGGCCTGGGATCGAGTCCCACATCGGGCTCCCTATATGGAGCCTGCTTCTCTTTCTGCCTATGTCTCTGCCTGTGTGTGTGTGTGTGTGTGTGTCTGTGTGTCTGTGTGTGTCTATGTGTCTCATGGGTAGATAAGTAAATCCTTAAAAATATATGTGTGTGTATATATATATAGAGAGAGAGAGACTATATAACTATAGTCTATAGACTATATAACACAATCCGTCTTAATGTTCAGTAGCCCTAAGTTTGCCTTCCCAAGTGCCTAGTGACAATATTTCCCCTGCCTGGAAACGGAACCCCACCATTCTGGAATATGTGGTACGATTCTGACATTTAAGGGCCATCACTTGACATTTAAGGGCCATAGACTTATCATCCTTACACAGACCTAAACCCGAGTAACATGGGAAAAAAAGATTATATCAGTCTCTGCCAGGTACAGGAGAGATCTGCAGGGTGCAGTTTATATACTGTCTCTTAAGCAGTGCTGTGGGCCTGTAGCAGTAACGAGTATCATGACCCACGGTCTGTTCATCTCCGTTTTGCATGAACATGTTGCTCTGCTGACTGATGCAGGCACCACGCTTAGCAGCTTAGGACTGTCCTTGTGGGTTTATCTGTAAAACTACATTTGAAAAACTCGGCAGCCATTTCTGGAGACCATCGTGAAATTTATTTATCGCTGGAAATTTTGTTGTTTCCAAGTGGTATTTACCCAAAAGCCAGATTGTACCTGAAAAATCAGATTCTGAGGACCATCGCAAATTATTTTGGCTGTGTGCTCTGTGGCCTCACATGCCGCCTCCCAAATTCCATCAGCCTCAGAGTGGTGAGGAAGGGGTGGAAGGAAGAGCTGGTCATTTCAAAATCAGTCTCAGCTGGATCTTAAGACCATCACATTCAGCAAAACAGTGGCCTGTGCTCAAACACTCAGATGAGAAATTGAATTATCTTTTAATTGAGTTCCTGTTGCGATAGAGTCTGGATATGAATGCTTTACACCGCTAGAGCGCCTTTCATCTTAAGATATCAAAGCACTCGACGACTATTAATTCATTAGTCTCTCCCACCCCTGTCAGGTGGCCGACACAGTCATGGGAGCCACTCTACCTATTGCTGAAACTCATGCACCTGGCTGGAGTCTGGGCAAGGATGGGAGCTGTGTAACCAACTGTAAGGCCATTCTACCCAGTAGCTCCTAAAATAGAAAAACAAGGAGCATCTTAGCCAAGTTAAAACTGCAGAAGTTTTAGGAGATGGAATATAATTACCAGAAGTGAATTGTGACCCGGAAAGCTGGTGCTGTTTATCTCCTATGCCATGGGGATCTCAATGACAGTGATGGGTCTGCAGCCCTGGGCACATGTCTCTGGGCCTATAGCCCATGTTCCCCAGGCTCCTGGCCCCAGGGTCAAGCCTGCTGCTTCAGTGCAGTGCCAGAGGGAAGAGCATCACCTATCGAAGTGTAGGAATTCGTGGGTACTTGCTGGGACTGGTTGAGAAGCTTCTCAGACCACATTCATGCTTGGTTTGCTATGCTAACATATACATGTCTGAAAGAAAACGAATATGTTGACTACTCTTGCTTAGAAAAACATCTACAAACGTCTGTGTATTTTCCCCAGCTGGAGCTGAGCGTATGCCTGCAGTTGAGCCTACTGCTCCTCGAAACAAGCCTGCTGCTAAAAGACGGAGGCAGATGGTATTTTTACCACTTCAGGCAAAACATGGCACCTATGGTTCGGCTCTCTACAATTTTAATTTTTTTAACACTTTCAAAATGGCTTGCTTAAATATCTTCAGCATAGAGATGCAGACCTTTTCCCAATTTCTTTTTAATACTTGCTTCAGATACACAGATATGTAGGAATAAGTAGCACTTGGTCAAAACAGACCCTGTCAAGCCCTGTAATGACCTCCTCCTTCTTTCACAAGTAACTCACCTGGGGCCCTCAGGGGCTCCTTTGACATCCATGCTAATTTTTGACGCAAAGACTCCTAAGTGGTTTTACAGGAGCTTTCTTTATAGCCCTCCCTAGTCTTTCCTGTGCAGGTCATATAATTTTTTCCATGACCCAGTACAGAAAAGAGAGTTGCATATTTAATGTCTTCGTCCTGAGGTTCACCCTAAGCGCGGATTTGCTCAAGGTTAAGCACTGGGGAAAGAGAGATCTTAACAGGTGTTAATTCATTAGGCATCCAGTTCTCGGTTGAACATAAGAGAGTTTTTTTTTTTTTTTTTTAAAGGAGTGGTTTTTGACGTGCCCTCTCTGCTGGAACGTGCTCAGGGCTGCGGAGTGGCCCCAGGCTCTGGCTGTGCCCCACCCCCCAAAGCACAGTGTCTAGAACTGCTGCTCCTCTCTTCCTCCCCCATCCTCAGAAGGCCTCGCACATTCTGTTTTATTCTAAAACGCATTTGCATAGGGTACACATTAAAATTCTCTTCCCACCAGCAAACAGTGCTGTCCGCGGACATTTGCATTTGCGTGATCACATATCATCACTTCCCTTCAAGAAGAAAAAAGAGTCTTTCCTCTCATGTCACGCTTCTCCTTTCCAGGCTTTGCCCTTTTAGTCTTTTTTTTCTCTCTCTCTCTCTCTTTTCTTATACAGAGATTGCTTTAACCGTTTTTGCTGCTTCCAGAGTCCAAAATTTGACTTTATGAAGCTTGAGTATAGAAAATTTTCTGTAAATATTATTGTCCTTTCTTTACTGACAAAGCCAGTCCCTCCCTCCCTCCCTCTCTCTCTCTCTCTCTCTCTCTCTCTCTGGCAGACAGTTTTTGCCTGCTTGTTCTTTCTCATAACCCTAGCTAACTGGCTCTGAGAATTTTTCACACTGGCACGTTTAGAGACCAGATGTTACAGTGTTTTCTCTTCTGCGTACCCCTTTCTTGGGCAGATGCTACTTCTCCTACCCTGGGACTTCACATTAGCTCCTTTGGTAAAGTATTCCTTATGGCATCACTGGATGCACCAAATCTCTCGTTTCCTCTAACCTCCTGAGGTTGTCTTTACATTTAGGCTTTCTGTTTTCATGATGAGGACAGAGACTATGTAAGAACATTGTCATTCCCTTCCCCCATCTATTCCCATAAAGGATTTGTGGTCCAATTCAATGAGGTGTTTGTAATAGAATTTAATGAAGAAAATCCAATTACCTTTATGATATGGGTGCAACTATGTAAAATTTTGATAAAGACTGGAAGAAGGCATTTAAAAATATGAACATGGGCATTAAGGTGGTAACATTTCAGCATGTTTTAAAATAAATACATTGTATTTTTTAAAGGTTTCTAGTTTTGAAATGTAGACTCAAATTTTTAAAGAATTTTTTTACTTATGTCCTGAGCTACTAAGAATTGAAAAATAACTTGCCTGAAATCATGTGTTTAGTGACATAACCAGAATTTAATTTTAGACTCCCCCAAAATTGCATGCTTCTCTGGCAATAGGCGGAAATGCACGATTGGGGGCGCCTGGGTGGCTTAGTTGGTTAAGCATGCCTTCCGCTCGGGTCATGATCCTGAGGTCCTGGGATCAAGCCCCCTGTTGGGTTCCCTGCTCAGTGGGATCCTGCTTCTCTCTCTGCCTCTTTCTGCTGTTCCCCCTACTTGTGCTCTCTCTCTCTCTCTGTCAAATAAATAAAATCTTTTTTTTTTTTAAGATTTTATTTATTTATTCATAGAAACACAGAGAATGAGAGGCAGAGACACAGGCAGAGGGAGAAGCAGGCTCCATGCAGAGAGCCTGACGTGGGACTCCATCCAGGGTCTCCAGGATCACGCCCTGGGCTGCAGGCGGCGCTAAACCGCTGCGCCACCAGGGCTGCCCAATAAATAAGATCTTAAAAAAAGAAAAGAAATGTAATGCACGGTTGGAAAGTGTAATTTTTGTACACTGCAAATTATGTTAGGCCTCAGGTTGTTGAAGTGCTGGAGGATAGTTGAGAATGGAAATCCAGCACACTGAGCAGGCATTGCAGGCATTAACCTGAGGACCTAACCACAGCTCAGGGATAGGTGCTTGGAAGGTATAGCCTGGACTGCCATCTGAAAGTTTTAAATCCCCTACTCCTTGTTTCCTTAAAAGTCAAATAAAACCAGCTATTTTTCTTTTGGCAATCATATTTCAGACAAGTGTTTTTTCCTTGCAGCAATCATGGATAGATTTAATCTATTTTAAAAAATAATTAATTTACTAAAGTCAGTTTTTGCAACTCTCTTTGATTCCATATCTCCTTTAACATACAATTATTGGGACACCTGGGTGGCTCAGCATTTGAGCGTCTGCCTTCGGTTCAGGGTGTGATCCTGGAGTCCTGGGATGCATGGAGCCTCCTCCCTCTGCCTGTGTCGCAGGCTCTCTCTCTCTCTCTCTCTCTCTCTCTCTCTCTCATGAATAAATAAATAAAAATCTTTAAAAACAAGCAAACAAAAATAAATTCTGGGAGTACCTGGGTGGTTCAGTCAGTTAAGCGCCCCACTCTTGATCTCAGCTCAGGTTTTGGGGGTTTTTTGTTGTTGTTGTTGTTGTTGTTGTTGTTGTTTTAAGATTTTATTTATTTGAGAGAGAGAGAACACAAGCAGGTGGAGTAACAAAGAGAGAGGGAGAAACAGGCTCCCCGCTGAGCAGGGAGCTATACACGGGGCCCAATCCCAGGACCCCAAGATATGACCCAAGCCTAAGGCAGACGTTCAACCATCTGAGCCACCCAGGCGCCCCTCAAATCAGGTCTTGATCTCAGGGTCATGTCATGAGTTCAAGCCCTGCCTGCATTGGGCTCCACATACAGTAGTTAGTATCTTGAACCAGAGTTGTATCTTACTATGAGCCCTCAAGTCTTTTTGCAAAACAGTTACCCTTTGGGCATTCATTCATCCCCAATCATCAAGTTAGTTTTTTCCTCCTTAAGTCTCTGGGTATTTTATTTTGCATTTGTGCTCAGTGACTGTCATCTTGCTTTGATGATCTATTCCTCTAATTTCTTAATATTATTTTAAAATTAGATTCTTGTTCTCTGAGGTGTTAGCAATCCCACACACCTCAATAGCATCAACAGATTTGATGATCATAATCTCTGTCCCCCCTGTGGATCACCAATAATATTATTAAGTGCTATCAATAATAAGCCTCTTTATGACATCATAAAATATGCCATTCTCTCAGTTGTTAGCCCAAATACTATTGATAATATTCGACTTCAATTCTCTATGCAGTTGTAAATCTAATTTTTCTTCAAATCATGTAGTTCGAGCTTGTTGATCTTGGGTTTCTAATTTTATATGTAAGTTGCCAAAGTAGTTCACAATAATAATTTTTAGTGGGACGATCTCATCCTTAAAATTACTGACATCTAAAAAAAAAAATACACCTCTACCTAATATCTAACATTCATTAGGAAGCTAAGGCAGACTTAGATTGTTAGTGAAGACTAGTTCTTTGTTGTAAGCCTGGAGTCGTGTCTGGTTTTGCTCACCACTGTAGTCTGAGGGCCTAACACAGTGCCTGGCACATGCTAGGTACCAAATAAATATTTGTTGAACTACTGTTGAATGAATGAATGAATGAGTGAATAACCTGAGATAAACCAAATGTTCCGCCCAGATTCTGTTCTTCTAATTCATAAGGCATTTTTGGCTCTGCCTTTGTTCTTCTTTCCTCCCAAGTATATTTCTAATCAGATGGTTACATCCTCACTGTTTTGTACTCCCTGGGTTGAAACAAAGAGTCAGTTGGGGTAACCTTTTGAATCTTAGTCTAGAAAGCTAACTAAAAATGCCCTCCAGGCTGGTTCTGTGGGTGAGTGCTCTGCACTGTGGGATAGCTGGATTCAATTATTGCTCCCAGTTTGTGGTATCAGGAGCCACCTGTGCACAGGAAGTGCCTATATGCCTTTATGTAGAGGATAGAGCCTTCTGTCCCCTAGAGGAGCCTGTTTAGTCCACTAAAGCTGTTTTAAGTAGATCTGAAAGAAATACCATTCTCTTCCCTTGTCATAAAAACAGGGGTGAGGTATGGGCTTTCCAAAATTATGTTTTTTTAAGAGAAAGAAAAGAGAGACACCACTGTGTAGACCCTGAATGTGGTTTTAGTAAGTTAGAAGTCTTTGTCCTTACCTAGATTGATATTTGCAAACTCAGACACTAATCCGACAGCCTGGTTTTATTTAGAATTGACAGCTTTTGTGATTTCAACATGAGTGGTCTATCAGAAAGCCATAATCTGTTTAGGTGGCACATCTGAAGCCCTTCCCCCATGTTTCCTAAGCAGTGTTTGAAACCACTACTCAGCTTCCCCACACACCACATCAGGCACGGTACTGATTCTGGATGTGCTTAACTACCTTTCCTGAAATAGCCAGGTGCCTATGCCACCCCAACTTTCAAACAGAGTTACTGTGATGGCAGTAGAGATTCTAAGAACTGCAGCATTGGTTAGTGATGTGGAAGATGCTCCTAGAGATTTTGGGTGAGTGGATTCTGTCCCTTTCCCCCAAGTCTTTGGCTTTCTGGCTTGATGAAAGATCTTACCTACTCAAAGATCATAGCAAAGCCAGAGTTGCAGTTCTGAGGATGGATTCCTGCATAGTGCAATGGTGCCCCCTGTAGAGGTGTCCCTGTTCTAGATCTAAGAGAATTACACGAACCTTTTTCTTTGATTCATTCCTAAAAAGATTTTTGTGCACCTCTTTAAAAAAGGTTGTGGGCCTTTCTTCTACATGTTATGATCTCTTTAA